TGCGAATTTCCATGTCACAGCTCATGCAGGTTCGTGAGAAGTCGTTCCCAGATATCTTGCTGCCCTGTAAATCCAAAAATCTCCATAAAGGAGCCACCAACTGAATTCTGCTCTGAGATATCTAGAATATTCTCATTTTCATTCTCATTTGGGGGCCAAAGGGTCTGAAAGATATTTTTACAATGAAAGACAATGGTGAAGACAAATGCCACTGACAGTCTGAAAAAAAAAACCAAACAATTCTGAAAAACTGTGAAAAAAAAATAAGAAATGTTCCGGAGGCTGCTACAATGGGAAGGAGACTTGTCATGACAAGTGTCGCTTGACATGCAGAATGCACTGTTGCTAAGCAGTTGCACAAAATGAGGAGAGAATGAGGGGCACATCTGTTCGGGCCGTTTCTAGCAGGGTGCTCCTGGGCTGCTGGCCAAGCCCTGGGCTAATGCTTGTTTTGGAAGATTCAAACGATATAACCACTGCTGCTTAAATAGCTTTAAATCTACATTCAGAGGAGTCACCATTGATAGGATACCATGCTTATGTGAATGAGAGAATGAAACAAGACGGGAACGGCTGTAAGGTACAGCCCTAGTCAGGAAAGAGGCTGAAGGATGAGCAGATGTGTGGGAAGAGATATTTGACTTCTGTCTGTTTGTGGAAATCTGTAAGACAGGGCCTGTCACTGTAGTGAACACTCGTACCTTTTCCACAGAACCAGAATCAGCAACAGGACCAGGCAGCATTTATTGAACATTTTTTAAAATTTTTTAGCTTTTTTTTTTTAAGGATGCAAGCATAGTGTATTGTGTCAATCTCCAATGAAATCATTGTCAAGCTCACTGTGAAGATGACCTGCTTTAGGCACTAGTGAGAATGAATCCCTTTCCTAACATACATTCCTGTCACTTTCACTGCACAAAAACAAAACAACGATGAAGAAAAAAATTTCCTTTGTTTCATGTCGTGCCCCTGGAATCAAGACAGTGTACAAATGATTAGGTGAAAGCAGGGAAGAGAGAAATCAATACCCACTGGCTGTGGATGTTGTCACTAATTATAAAGAAGAAGAGGAGGGGGAGGAGGAGGAAGAGGAGGAATAAACGGAGTTTGACTTTTAAGAGAATAATACAGCATATGATTCTGTTACAGATTGAATCTGTCAGTTTTGACTGCTGGGCTCAATTAGAAATTATTAGGGTTTTTTGGGGGGTGCTGGCATTTGATTTTAGAAGTAGTTTAATATTTGTTGCTAATGTTATATAAGCTTCTTATTAGAGTTTCTTTCTAGGATGGTATTCCCAAATGTAAAATCCTGCTCATTTTTAAAAAGCAAGGTCCTGAACTGTATGTTTAAAATCCACTTTTACCCTCTATTTGCACTCCATCAAAAACTGCTGGGTTTCTGGTTTGACCCTTGGAACAGCTGTCACTGTGAGAGTCCCATGTTCTGATTCAGGCCCATGATAAAGACAGCTTCTACAGAGAGGGTGTGGGAAGTCCCTGTCGGGAGCAGGAAACGGTGGGAGTCAGCACTGGCCTGTCTTTGGTGACAGTATGCAAATTGCCAATGGCAGAGTTCAAGTGCATTCAAATATGTGGCATTTTTCACAGCTCATTGTTCTTTATATCTTCCATTCTAGAAACCCCTTGAGATTTGCCTTGACAATCAATTTCCCTTTCCTGATCATAAAAAAGAGACAGTAGATTTATGATCAAATCTATGTCCTTCGTGAACATGCATGAGAAAAGCTTTTGGCTTATTCTTTCATTCTCTTCCCCTCTGTGGAGTATAAAGATAACAGAGACATTGAGTAGAGCACCAGCCTTAAGCAAAAATAGCCAGACAAAAGTATGAGGCCCGGAGTTCAAATCCCAGTACCTACACCAATATACCAATATGTGTATATACATATAATTAGTATAGTGAATATAGTATCTTAAGCATTACACTAGGATTTGAGTCCAGCTTTAAAGAAGCAATTCTTTCCTGGATACAGTAGCTTTCTTATAGTCCCAGCTTCTTGTGAGGCTCACATGGATCACTTGAGCCCAAATGTTAGAGGCTAGCTTGGGCAATACAACAAGTAATTCTTGGTGTTCATAGGTATAAAAGTGCCCTTGTTCAGGCAGGCTCACTTGCTCTGGGGTAGCTAGATGAGTTGGAACCAGTCTGGGACGGACTGGGGCAAAGATGATCTTTTTGAGTGTATTTAAAGACTACAGAACAGAAGCCAAAGTCAGCAGTAGACATCTGTGTTTGCTGTTTGACAGGCCTCATCTCCAGTGGCTTTCTTTTACTCAGCTCACTCTGCATCTTCAGTTGGGGGCATTTGAGTCTGCTTTCCTGATAGCTCTTTTCTGAGTGAGATGGGCTCTATCCTGTTGGAGTTGCAAGTTTCTTGGTGGCAAGTGACAGAACCTCACTTTGACCTTACTTAGACAAAAGGAGAAGTTTTCTGAAAAGCTGAGTGTCCTGTCCCCTTCTAACTGCCCACCACTGCCATCTAACTCCTGGAAGGGCAGGATTGGCATGCAGCTTCAGAGACAATAGGAGTCCTGAAGATGGCAGGGGCTGTTCTGCTTATGTTTGATAGTCATGCACTGCAGATCTGTTTCTACAGCATGATGTACACACTACTGGAGGCTCCTATACCTCTGCCAGTAAGGGGCTGCCTGACTGTTTTCCCTTGTGTCCACTTTGGAAAACTTGCAAGATATTCTTGTCTATCTGTGTCTACCTTTGGGCGAGTTACTGTGGCCAGAAAGTTGCAGTGTTGTAATTACTCGGCTTCAGAGGACAGGGGTCAAGCAGCTTTGGGGAATGCAGGACAAGCATTTCTCTCATTCTAGTGTTAGTCTCAGTCTCCATCTCAGCAGCACCTTCTATTGTCCAGGCATTGCTCTGATGCACAAAGCATTATGTACTGTGTTGAGACCTATGGCGTGATGCCAACTATGTGTTATACAGTTTGTTTCATGAGATGCCATGATTTTAGAATGTGGGAGGCTGATACAGGGGGGATCTTGAGTTCAAGGACAGCCTAGGCTAGTGAGATCCTGTCTCAAATACAGAAGAGAAAAAAAAGTTGAATGGGTGTAGGTGGCTCACACCTATAATCCTAACTACTCAGGAGGATGAGATCTAGGAACACAATTCAAAGCCAGCCTGGGCAGGAAAGTCTGTGAGACTCTCATCTTCAATTCATCACAGAAAAAGCTGGGTGTGTGTTGTAGCTCAAGTGGCCTTGAGCAAAAGGAGTTTAGGGACAGAGCTCTGGCCCAGAGTTCAAGGCCCAGGACTGGCAAAAAAAAAAAAGTTGATCATTCTGTGAAAGAGACACTAACAACCAAAGGATTCAGGGAAGAATCATGGAATAAGATAGCTTATGAGTTCATTTCATATAATATCTGTTTAAGAGTAGAGTTTAAGGGGGATGGGAGATGGATTCTAAGATCTTTCTCCTACAAAGGGAACATTGTAGAGAAGCTAAATGAATGAACTAAGGCTGGCTATTAAAAAAAAAAAAGGATCAGGAAGTAGGCAGCTAAGGATAATGCAGTTACTCAGCAGACCTAGGCTGCTGCCTTGGCTTCCATGGTGGGATGAACTCTCTCAGGTTGTAAACCAGAACAGAACTGATGGCTGGATGCAGTTCTAACCTCCTCTGATAATGAGCCACTGAGCATAACCTGATCATTCTGCATTACATGATTACAAATCTGTAGAGACCCTATTGAGGAATGGATATGTAAATATACCCCAAAAGAGGAACCAAGGGGAAGGGGTATTCTTTCTAGCTTAATTTTCTGGCTGATTCAGCCCAATGGTGCTTTAGGGATGTGGGTTAGCTCAGCTCAATTCCATTCACTATCATTGTAAGCATCTTTGGTAAACATTATTTCCTGGGTACCGTGCCAGATGCATATATTGCTTCATTTAATTCTTTTAACATCCCTATGACATGACTACTCCCCCTGTTTTCTAGATGAGGCAATAGAGGCTTGAAGAGCTTAAATATCATACCCAGTGTTTGCAAACCTCTTACGTCAAGGAGGTAGAATTGCAAACTCCTGACAAATATTTCATGACATAAGTCATCCCTCTTCCCATCTCCCCATCACCCAGTAACATCCCAAGGAGCAGAATGAACACATCTTCTCTCCTACCCAAATTAGTAGTGTCTCTCCTTGTTCCTTGCCTCATTCACACCCAGAGGCAGCAGGAGTTCATGCCTTTAATAAACTTATCAGATGAGGCCCATGGCTCAAGCCTGTAATCCTAGCTATTCAGGAGGCTAGATCTGAGGATCACAGTTCAAAGCCAGCCCGGGCAGGAAAGTCCAATAAACCACTAAAAAACCCGAAGTGGTTCTGTGACTCAAGTGGTAGAGTATTCGCCTTGAACTACAGAGTGCAGGGACAGCACCCAGGCCCAGAGTTCAAGCCCCACGACTGACAAAAAATATAATTATAAGAGGGTGGACACGGTAGGACACAGACACAAGTGTTCTGATCAGTTTGTCAATATGATTTATTTCAGGTAATAGGCTGCCCCCACCTGTGCATCCAGAGCCTGGACCTTATCCGTCTCCCCTCCTCCCACCATGCAAATCAAGACTAACTGAACCTTTCTCTCACACAACTTGCTCTGGCAGGTGTGCTGTGCCCTTAATTGACTATATTAGGGGAAAATATTCTAAAGTATACTCAATGTTCAGTATAAACACAGATGTAAAGATACTGGTGTGGCAGCAGAAGAAAAGACTGACTGAAATGGCCATCAGAGCATATCTGCTGGGCAATCCGGAAGGGCTGAAGAGCATGGGAAATGACAGGCCTGTGCTCATTTGTAAACCAGTCCAGATGGTGAATGGGGCATTCAGACCTGGAATTTTGGTCATTTTGTAGTAGACTGACAAAAATGATGCTCATCTGCCAATGTTGAAAAGTACAATGGAGCCCCACAATGCTGTTGACAGGTTATACCTTTTATGTTTCAGGAGGACCTGTCCCAGGAGGCTGGTGAAGGTGGCATGGCAGATCAGGAGGAAGCACTGGAACATTCTACTAACCATGTAGGTCTCACACTTAGGTTCTGCTCTCCGCTCGGCAGGGTACAATAGAAATTCTCCAAGAAGGGAGGTGGTAGCAATAAAATCAGATCCTTATTATTGGGCAGGCGCTTCCAATGGGTCTGAAGCCTAAAGTCCACCCACTGTCTTGTCACCAGTTACACACAGGAATGTAGAAACCTCCTAGTTGTCTTTCTGTACCTCTACCCCAAACAGGTGTTTAGAAGGACACCTCTAATACCCCTCACCCTTGTGTTCTGTGAGTACCATGTCATGTAATGGTATCAAAATTTTCAAGGCTCAGGGCTGGTGGTTTATGGCTGTAATCCTAACTACTCAGGTGGCTGAGATCTGAGGATTGTGGCTTGAAACCATCTTGTGTCTGTGAGACTCTTATCTCCAAGAAACTACCATAAAAGCCCAAAATAGAGCTGTGGTTCAAACTCGGACTGGGCAGGAAAGTCCATGATACTCTTATCTTTCATTAACCACCAAAAATCTGGAAATTGAGCTGTGTCTCAAATGGCAGAGTACTAGCTTTAAGCAAAAAAGCTCAGGGGCAGTGCCCAAGTCCTGAGTTCAAGCCTCAGGCCCAGTCAAAAAAAACACCAAACAAGGTTAGTTTAACAACAACAAAAAATCTGTGAGCAGTTTTTTAATTTAACCAGATTTTGTAATATATAGTGTATCTGCAAATTATCCCCAATACATTAATACTTTATATAATACTTTATCTTAAGGTACATATCAAATGTCCCTAAAATTTTGTAATCATAGAGTTTTAGATTTGGAGTGACTCCTAAACGTCACCTGCTATCTATTCCCTGATAAGAATATGCATCTACTTTCCTCTGAGAAAGTGTGGGTAAGGCAGAGAGCGGCAGTGCCCATTGTAAAGAACTTCCCAACATTCCCTCTGCTGCAAAAGCCATGGACATCCTCGTGGAAACGGAACTTTCCATCTCTGAAGGTTTCCAATCAAAGCTGGCCAGTCATCTGCTAATGTTATCAAGGGACCAATGGCTATTCTTCATTGAGCTCCTACATTGCTTTTGGAACACTGATATGTTTGTTGAAATTAGGTTTTAATAACTTAATTCAACTGATATTCATCAGTTACCTCTGAGGCACCAGGTACCACATGGAAGTGAGAGCCATTCCCTGCGCTTGTAAGAATCATAATCTAGGACACTCAACACTCACTCTCCTGATTTACTGATACAAACTCACATAACTTTCTAGCAAAGATCCTGTAGCTTATATTCACTGGTAGTCTACAGTCATTTCTTGGGGGTGATATAAAATAATAGATCACTACCACATATATTTGAAGAGGTTAAGTGACATGTCTGAGTTACATATAGGTCATTAGTGGTAGCAAACTTAGCAATTCATGTCTTCCTTTTAGGAAGACCTGATCTTTTCTCCAGATAAACACTCATACTTATGATTTTATTTAAACCAGAGAGGTTTGAAAAAAAATAACCACAGGGGCTGGGAAGGTGGCTCAGTGGTAGAGTGCTTGCCTTGCATGCTCGAGGCCCTGGGTTCGATTCCTCAGCACCACATAAGCAAAAAGAAAAAAGCCAGAAGTGGCGCTGTGGCTCAAGTGGTAGAGCGCTAGCCTTGAGCTGAAGAGCTGAGGGACAGTGCCCAGGCCCAGAGTTCAGGCGACCGGACCCAAAAAATAAATAAATAAATAAATAACCACAGAGGTTTTACAGCTTCCAGAATTCCCTCTGTGATCCCTTAAAAGCCCTCAGCTAAGAAGTCATGGTTTATCTCTCAACACTAAGTCTCAAAATAATAACTAGAGATCAAAAATACCTTGCCTGACTTTGGCACTGGTGGCTAACGCCTATAATCCTAGCTACTCAGGAGGCTGAGATCTGAGGACTATGGTTAAAGCCAGCCTGGGCAGGACAGTCCATGAAACTCCTATCTTCAATAAATTTCCAAAAAGCCAAAGGTGGAGATGTGGCTCAAGTGGTACAGCATAAGCTTTGAGCAAAACAAGCTCAGGGATAGCACTCAGGCCCTGAGGATTGGGGAAAAAAACAAAAACAAAAACAAAAAAACAACTTACCAGACTTTCACCCCCACTCCATGTCAATTTATTCAGTTTGTGGTGGGGCAGGCATCTCAGTATTCATAATTTTTTAAACCTCCATAAGCATTTCAGTTGGGAAGCAGGTTCAATTAAGTTTAACTGCGGGGTTTGATTAGGTTGGAGGACCTGCAAAATCCTCCTGAACTCATAACCTAATATAGCAACGTACACAGCAAAATCAAGCTCTCCAATCTCTCAGGCCTACAAGTTTGCTTAGTGCCAGTGGATGAGTCATGAAGCCATCTTTACACATCACCACACCTACTGACAGGCAATTTACCCCTCCACATATCACACACACTTACAAACAATAGGAGAACATTCAACAGAAGCCAAGTGAAACCCTCAAACTTAGGGGGAGGTAGGTGTGTGTGTGTATGTGTGTGTGTGTGTACTGGGGCTTGAATTCAGGGTCTGAGTGTGTGTGTGTCAGTACTGGGGCTTGAATTCAGGGCGAGAGAGAGAGAGAGAGAGTGTGTGTGTGTGTGTGTGTGTGTGTGTGTGTGTGTGTACTGGGGCTTGAATTCAGGACATGAGTGTGTGTGTGTGTCAGTACTGGGGCTTGAATTCAGGGCCAGAGAGAGAGAGAGAGAGAGAGTATGTGTGTGTGTGTGTGTGTGTGTGTGTACTGGGGCTTGAATTCAGGACATGAGTGTGTGTGTGTGTCAGTACTGGGGCTTGAATTCAGGGCCAGAGAGAGAGAGAGAGAGAGAGTGTGTGTGTGTGTGTGTGTGTGTGTGTGTACTGGGGCTTGAATTCAGGACATGAGTGTGTGTGTGTGTCAGTACTGGGGCTTGAATTCAGGGCCAGAGAGAGAGAGAGAATGTGTGTGTGTGTGTGTGTGTAGTGGGGCTTGAATTCAGGGCCTGAGTGTGTGTGTGTGTGTGTGTGTGCGTGTGCGTGTGCGTGTGTGTGTACTGGGGCTTGAATTCAGGGCCTGAGTGTGTGTGTGTGTGTGTGTTAGTACTGGGGCTTGAATTCAGGGCCTGTGTGCTGTTCTTACCTTTTCTTGCTCAAAAGCTACACTCTACTATTTGTGCCACAGCTTTACTTCTGGCTTTTTGGTGATAAATTGGAGCTAAGAGTCTTATTGTACAGTTTTTCCTGCCTGGGGTGAGTTTGAACCATGATTCTCAGATCTCAGCCTCCCAAATAGCTAGGATTATAGGCATGAACCACCAGCGCTCAGCTTGGTTTCCTTCTAACTCATGTCTCTCAATTAAGCAATCTGTTATATCTCTGTTGTGAGCACATCCAGAAAAGATGGAGAGTGTTAGGGGTTTGGTGTTACTGTAGAGATTGTTCTTTAGGGGACACAGCACAAAGGGTGGAACACACTTTGATGAGCAAAATGAGTAGAAATTGTAAACCTGCTTGTTCTGCTATCTCCAGCTTCCTACAAGACCACAGTTTTAGAGTGTCTGCAGCTGCTAGCCTTCCTCCCTTCATCCACCCTTCACCAAATAGGGAAATGTGGGAAATGGTCCAAGATGAACCTCACCTGCCCTTTCCACTTCTCACAAAAGTCTCCAAAGACATTTCTAAAATGCCTCATTATTTCAGTAACATTGCAGCAATTTTAAGGCTTTTTCTAGTTTCCTCTCTCCTCCTTGACACTTGTAATTTTCCTTCTTTTTGTAGGTTGCCAGCCCGGTGAAACAGCAAAAGCATTCAACAAATGCCTCCATCAGTTCACAAGAGATCTCATTAGCATCAACTCCACCCAGCAACTCAGCAGATGCCGAATTCTCAGGTGTGGTTCCTTCCCTGAGCGGAATTCCCTCGTGGATCCTGAGAGCGGGAGACCATGATGTCCTAAACAGAAAACCAGGGGAGTTAGGATGCCTGGTTCCACTTCTCTTTTCTTACCTCTGGAACTCAGACAACATTTTCCTTAGCCCAGCACTGGTGGCTCACACCTGAAATTCTAGCTACTCGGGAAGCTGAGATCTGAAGGTCATAGTTCAAAGCCAGCCTGGGCAGGAGAGTCCAGGAGACTGTTATCTCCAGTTAACCACCGGAAAGCCAAAAGTGGAGCTGAGGCTTAAGTAGTAGGGTCCTAGCCTTGAGCAAAAAAGTTTAGAAACAGCACCCAAGTCAGAACTTTAAGCCCTAGGACTAGCACCCAAAAAAATTTTTTTTCCACATCTCCACCATTAGTATTCCCTATTAAAGTATAAGATCAGAAAGACTCAGCAAATGCCACTTGAAAGACTCTCTTAAAGATTATGTTAAGGTCATGAGTGATGCCTTCAAAATCATGTTGAATCTAGTTTCTAACCCCATATAGGTTGATGTAAATTTTTTCAAAAATATTTTTCAGCACTAAAAGAAACTAATATTTATATTATTATTTCAGATTTCTGGCTTGAATTATTCTGACTGGGAGTTGAAACTAGAATCTCAACCCAGTCCGTGAGTTAAACCCCAGTACTGGCATCAAAAAAAAAAAGGAGGGGGTACCTCAAAAGAAAGAGCATTTGTGCTTTGCTTTTATGCAGTATAAGTAAAAAAGTAGACTGTTCATTTGGAGGTGTGGCTCAGCAGTAGAGCATCTGCCTAGCAAGTTTAAGGCCCTGAATTTAAACCTCACTACCACCAAAAAGAAAAACAATTGGACTGTTTACAGCACCGGATTGCCAATGGCAAACTCATAACCTCATATTAGTATATAGCAAGCTTCACAACTTTGTGATATTGCCTATTACATATTCTTTGGTAAATATTGTCTTTATAAAACATTTAGTAAGTAGGTAGTATTTTACAGTACTGGACTTATACTAAAATCTTTGATGAATGGGTTTAAGTTTTAGTTTATCAGTCAAACAAAAACCATCTATTTTTGTTTGGCCTAAGAACTAAAAACAGTTTTCATTGGTGCCAGTGGCTCATACCTGTAATCCTAGCTACTCAGAAGGCTGAGATCTGAGGATCGCTGTTCAATGCCAGCCTGGGCAGAAAAGTCTGTGAGACTTTTATCTCCAATTAACCACCAGGAAACTGAAAGTGGCTCTGTGGCTCAAGTGATACAGTGTTTGCCTTGAGGTGAAGAGGTGAGGGACAGCACCCAGACCCAGAGTTCAAGCCTTACAACCAACAACAACAACAAAAAAGATTTTCACATTTTTAAAAGCTGAAAAAAAAATCAAAACCAATCTGGGCACTGATGGTTCAGGCCTGTAATCCTAACGACTCAAGAAACTGAAATATGAAAATTGCAATTGGAAGCCAGCCGGAGCAGGAAAGGCTGGAGACACTTACCCCAGTTAACCAACAAAAAGCCAGAATTGGAGGTGTGGCTCAAATAGCAGAACATCAGCCTTAAGAGGAAAAGCCAAGCAAGAACACAAAGCCCTGAATCCAAACCCCAGTACCAGCACAAAATTTTTTAAAAAATCAAAAGCATATCTAATGAAAATTATATGAATCTGCATCTCAGTATCTGGTAGTATGTTTGTTTACATGTTGTTTACATTAGTTTATATCTGGCTGCTTTCACACTGTAATGATAAAAATCAAATGATAGCCACAGAGACCAGATGACCTATCTGCCAGGAGAGGTTGCTGACTCTGGGTACGGACCAGTTAGGTTTTGGTAATAAATATTACATGTTTGTCCTAAATAGCAGAAATTCATAACTCCATATTTTATTTTGGAAAGTGCATTCATTTCCTCATCTACTTAACAAATGTTCATAGAGCAGTTGGTAGGAGCCAGACATTGAGAAGCAGAGATACGGAGACTGGCTGGCGACTAGTCTGGGAGATGCAGGGCTGCCCCCAGTCACTTTACTATGTTTCCTCTCTCCTTACTCAGGAGACTAAACCAGCCAGTCAATAAGAATCATATAAACTTTGAAAAAGCAGCCATGAAATTATGACACTATTATACATCATTTTTATGGTAAGTTAATGGAACCAAGAGACAGAGCTCCAGAAAGAAGTCAGGTTTACAATTTAATATTCTACTTCCAATGCACCACTTTTTAGTGTTCCTGAGGTTGTATCACTGTATTTCTTGCCCTTAGCCAGGAGACCACTGAATTGCTTAGTCTCAGGTAAACAGGAGCAGCACGCTTGGCCTCATACCATTCCTTACAGCCTGTTCAGTCATTCTGCCTTGTTCTGATGAGCAGTGAGCCCCAGGTTTACCCACATAGAAACTCCCTGCCTAGGTACTCAAACCTACCTCTGTGTCCTCCGAACTCTGTCCCCCTTTCTCACAAAGGTGTAATATTGCTCAGAGAACCTCCCTCAGGTTGAAATGCAGCCTGGTCCTTTTGTTGCTGTTGTTTTCAGTACTGGGGTTTGAACCCAAGCCAGTTTATTTTAGTCTTAAGGATTTTACTCCCAGGCTGTCTTTGAACCTTGACCCTCTGGATCTCAGACTCCCAAGTAGGATAACAACATAAGCCACCAGCGTCCCTCCATCCTTTTGTTTTATGGTAGAAATGGCCAGTCAACCTTTTCGCTTTCCTTCTCTACCTCCTTTTTTCCTTTATCCTTTTTCTCCCAGTCTTGGGGCTCGAACTCAGAGACCGGGCACTAAGCCTCTTTGTGCTCAAGGCTAGTGCTCTACCACTTGAGCCACAGCTTTTTCTGAGTAGTTTACTGGGGATAAGAGTCTCACAGACTTTATTTGCTTGGGTTGGCTTCAAACTGCAATCCTTAGATCTCAACCTCTTGAGTTGCTAGGATTGCAGGAGTGAACTACCAGCCTCTACCTTGTTAAGACAGGTCTTACTAGAAAATTCAAGGAGGCCTCAAAGTTAGAATCCTATAGTCTCAAGCTCCTGAGTGCTGGGATTATAGGTATATTCTACCATGCCCATCCCAAACTTTCCTATAAGCCAGACAGGTTATTGATCACAGAACCTCTATTGTAACTTCTCAACTCAGCCATAGTAGTTTGAAAGAACTACCTTGGGTCTGGGTTCCATTACAGCTTTATGGGCTCTGAAATGTGAACTTCACATATCTTAACATATTCTATTCGTCTTACCTTTAGAAAATGTAAAAACCAAGCCGTGAGTCGGTGGCTCACACCTGTAATCCCAGCTACTCAGGAGGCTGAGATCTGAGGATTGTGGTTCAAAGCCAGCCCAGGCAGGAAAGTCTTAGAGACTCTCATCTCCAATTAACCACCAGAAAACCAGAAGTAGCACTGTGGCTCAAGTGATAGAGCGCTAGCTTTGAGCTAAAGAGCTGAGGGACAGTGCCCAGGCCCAGAGTTCAAGCCTAGAGTTCAAGACAAAAAAAAAAAAGGCAGGAAAGGAAGGAAGGAAGGAAAGAAAGAAGGGAGAGAGGAAGGAAGGAAGGAAGGAAGGAAGGAAGGAAGGAA